CCACGTCAGCAATCCGTGTGCTTGTAGCTAAGGATTGAGTGTGTTAGTTAGTGTGTTAGTTGGGTGCGCCACGTCAGCGATCCGTGTGCTTGTTAGGGTTATCCGCCACGTCATCCATCCACTAGGAGAGGTATGGATGGTGGGGATTAGATCTTATCACCTTGTACTTGTTGGTGAGAGCTATATAAGGGAGAGGAGAACCATTGTTGGTATCGCTCATCTTCAGAGTTTACGTTTCTATCTTCGAGTGAACTTCTCTCTAAACCCTAGTGTTACACTTGTCCACATCAATTTGTGTGTTTTTGTTAAAGTTGTCAATAACTTCAAGTATCTTTTGATGCGATTTACTTGGGTTCGATTTCTTTGCCTATAAAATAAAACCTTCCATCATTTTAAACAATTTTTTTTGCTTCCAAAAAATCTCTATTTGCATAAAGTGTTTGATGTGCCACACCGCAACAATTTTATGCTGGCACTAATCACCACAAGTCTCTTCTCTTTAGATTGATCGAGGGGATGAATACTTCTATGAGGATTTTAAAAGCTATTGGTGACAAAAGGTATTGTTTGACAACTAATCTGTCACCAAAATGACATTTTTGAGTGTAAAAATCAAACTCTATTTGAAGCAGGTTGGTGATTATGATTATAAGTTTCCGACTTAACTCTAGATGGAGACTTTGGAAAAATTTAATTATGTGCTAAGTCGTTGTGCAACCAGTGCATTAAATTTGACTACACATGATGACACTTCACTTGAATTAACATAACACTGAGTAATTGGATGCATTGCATATGTGCACATTCCCTCTATTAGGACTACAAGGCTTCAGCCCAAGGCAAAAAGTTGTATGCTAGTAAGCTACGATGACAAATCCAAAGCATATAAATGCTGGGACCCGTCGGCTCTTTGCATTATTACTACCAACGATGTTACATTCTTCCAGCACATTACTCTAAATTTTTTTGATGCCAATAATTTTGTAAATCTCTTCAACGGCTTTAATGCCAATGTCAACCTTCCCAATCCGATAGTACCATCAAAGTAGGTTGTTACTTCAGATGCTAATTTTAGAATTTCTGGTGATCTCGGAAAAACCGACGCACCAGTACACAAACTTGAGTCACAAGTTGGTGCCTCTACAATCGTAAGCTTACCGATTATATTAATTTACTCCAATAATGCTTCTCCATCAAGTCCCAGTAGAAATCCTCCACAAGAGGTCGTTGACTACCGCAATTCTCAGAGACAACTATCACATACTAGAACGTAATTTCATCAATATAGGTGTGATTACATGACTAATGAACGATCAAATAACTGTCGCTCAAGCATTCTAAAATCTTCTTTGGAAGGAAGTGATGCAAGAAGAGTTTGACTACCTTGTCGCCAATCTCACCTTGGAACTCTTGACACTTCTAGAAGGTAAGTATGCTTTAATCTCGCAGTGGGTATTTAAGATCAAATCTCAATTAAACCCTACATATCTACGCTTGAAAGCTCGTTTGATTGCGCGTGATTTGAAACAAAAGTTTGTTATTGATTATAACAAAACATTTGTCCAAGTTGTTTGTTGTTCAACCCTGCTTGCGTAAATCTTGCTTTCGTTAGCACTTGGGTGGAAATTTCATCATACTGATATGATTACCACATAACTTAATGGAAAATTGAAGTAGCTAATTTACATGAAACAAGCTAACGTTTTTGAGGTCAAAGGAAAGGAAGAATTAATTTGTCTTATGAACATATTAATTTATGGACTGCAATAATTCACCAAGCAATGTAATGAAGAAATCCAAAGCCATCTCATATCTATTGGCCGGAGTCAAAGTCAACTTGACCCAACATGTACTTCCTCCGTGATTACAACACCATTATAGTGCTTCTATTGTATGTCAATGATTTACTACTGCTCGGAAGCAATACCGTCAAAGTAGCCAAAATGAAAATTCAACTTTTTAATCATTACGAGATGAAAGATCTTGGCACTGTCTCACGTAATCTCGGTGTGGATCTCCATATCATACTTGAAGGTAATTTGTTTTTTCATCAAAAATAATATATTCCAGAGCTCCTTGAGGAATGCAAAATTAAGCTACTATGACGGCCCTGTCTCACGTAATCTCGGTGTGGATCTCCATATCATACTTGAAGGTAATCTGTTTCTTCATCAAAAATAATATACTCCAGAGCTCCTTGAGGAATGCAAAATTAAGCTACTATGACGGCGTGTGTGCCCCTTCCAGTAGCTCACATCCTTGAAGTTGACGCTAGTATTACATCAGTCCAAGTCTTGGCTTATTGTCATATTGTAGAAAAATCAATCTTTTAATGCCACCTGAGCTACCGCAACATCCGCTAATATATTGGTTCTTATTTATTCAAGCTGGCTGATGTTTCCATCTCTTGATCTTGAAGCAGCAACCTACTGTCTCGTATAATACAACATATGCTAAGTACAAGGCTTTATTTGAGGCAGCTAAAGAATGCGTTTACATGAGACTGATTGATGGCAGAGCTCCAAGTCAATCCTTTGGCTCTAATTTCCATTGCAAATTCTATCTTAAGATATGTCTTGAAGTATTGTATACATATCTTCATCGAGTCACACCAACACTGTTCGCCACCCACCTACATAACTACTCAAGAATTGCCTAAACAACCCCACGCAAGAATTCTAGCAGCTACAAGTCGAGTCACACCAACACTGTTCGCCACCCACCTACATAACTACTCAAGAATTGCCTAAACAACCCCACGCAAGAATTCTAGCAGCTACAAGTACAATCATTCTTGTCATCTTCAGAGTAGAGATTTCGGATTAGAATATTTTCCTCAAGAGGGATTGTTGTGAGACATTGTTAGTGTTTCAGCGAGACGTACATTAGCAATATGGATTAGGACAATATATTGAGATGTTTCCAGCTTGTGTTGTAGAACTAGCCCGCAGGCCGTTGGTTATGCTTGGTTTACGGTTTTAATCTAATCGGTTTATTTTAGGTTGAGTGCATCATTGCACTCAACATGTAACCGACAATAACTACGTTATTTTTTTTTCAGTAAAGTATTTAGTTTTTATTTTACAACAGTATTATGTTGATTATTCACTTGCTTCAAATTTATTATGACATTGTCAAAATCTGCAACTCTTTATTATGACATTCAACCAAGAGACTTGCTCTAATACCAATTGTTAGATGAAAACACAATAATATATACATAAATATATCAAAAATCAATCACAAAAACTTAGGTACTTCATTAAGTTCGAGCTCCGTTCAAGAGTTTTTCATTGAAAGAATGTACAAATTGTTCGAGTCAATGTGTTTCTCACCCACTCTTATATACATACAAGTTGAAATCCTAATATTAACACTAATTAAACAAAATAACACCAATACTAAATCAACTTTGGTTATCTTGAATGTAAAGAAATTTGACTAGATGAATTTTTACAAATTGTGAAAAAAATAATTAATATTGAAATATATTATAATACATATATTTTTTATTTTCTATGGATTTGAATAAATACATAAAATCTAATGGTTTAACTTCATAATTAAAAGTCTTCAAAATCTTCATTTGAATTAAATAATAGTTATGTAAAAAAATAATTTTGCTGAAAGCAAAATTACGTAATCTACGAGGGCACCGTAATGATGAACAGGTATCTATTTTTAAATAATTACATATAAATATGCATTACAACAATAGCTTAATTAAGGCTTGTCTTAATACATGTACATTTAAAGAAATGTGTAAATCACATCTACAAGAATTCTAAAGGACTTTACTCTTTGAACGGATGAAATCCACTCAGCAATCAATCAATCTCAATGTTATGGTCTTCAATACCATATCCGACTAATCAAACCAATATTCATATGTCACAAATTTGATATAATGTCAATAAATTGTGAATTCTTGATTATCACATATGATGCTTTCTAGTTTCCTCGTAGAAAGTAATGGTGACTGATGTACGATCAATCTTTTGGAGAAGTAGATGGTCGCTATTAAAATTATTTCTGCAGGCTGAGAAATCTCAATAATGAAGTTAGTTACACATATCGTAAACGATCACCTTCTCTTGGATTCAGCCTTCTCCGTGAGTGTTGTTTTTTCCAACTGCTTTGCTTTCAAGAGCTCGAAGAGTTTCTTCGGAGCAAAACTCATGGATAAGAGACTGCCTATGCTCTCTTGAAGGTACAATAATACTTCTACAATTCTTCACAGAAATTATTTGCGGATCATGCGTGATCTGAATCTGGAGTTGAATATGCCAGCCTCTAAGATGCGCGTAGTCTCGATAGAGATTGACTGACACTGTAGTGCGCATTGCACCGGGCACAACACTTGCGCATTGCACAAGCTCACCATACTCGAGACGATAGTAGATTGATGGAAGCTGAGTTGACGGCGTAGAAGTGGCATGTGCTTGGAGCATGCCCTCCTCGTTCTCTCTCAGAATATGCACTGCAACACAATGTCAATCCAATCCATCCAATTTTCGTCCTTGTTCGCTTTTATTAAAATCACAATCATCCAAGTGTGCGACTGATCCACTCTGCTTTCAAATCGATACTTATTCCAGCCGATTTCCGACCTGAAACCGCAGAAAGACATCGATACAAACAGGTCTCGAATGAGTTCTGAGCTCGATCCAGTGCGGACCGACATCAAAACACCGCGTCTTCAAGTTGTCATCGGCAGTTGCATATTTGCCACCCAAGTGTTGACTTGAACCGAACGAAGAGCATAGTTGCACACATTTACAGCAGCACTTCCAAGCTTTGTAGCAGCAGCAGCAGCAGCTGTTGCACTTCTCTGAAAACCAAGCACAAAACGTCGACTGGAACGCTCTCCGCTTCTAAATACGTAGAAGTGATTCAGCGGAAGCCACGAGCTGGGCAAACATACACAGGGAGAGACACTCGCATCATCGAGTGAGCGAGAGAGAGATTCGACAGTCGACGAGAGGGTGGGTATTTGGGACCTAGGGAGGGGTGCAAGTGAGAGTGTCGGGATCCCACAGAGCGGGCACGAGAAACTTGCGGCTGGAGTTCCAGAAGCCGTGGACATTGAAGCTGGCGCCGGACGCATCGTCCTGCGGGAGCTGGCCGGGGAAGCCCGGGTAAGCGCCCGGGCCGAAGATGCCAGCGCAGGCCGTGGCGGCCTCCAGCGGGTAAGCGGCGTCGCCCTGATAGAACCCGTTGTTGAAGGGGTTGGTGACGGTGCCGGCCAGCATGGCGGCCATGTTGATGATCAGGCCGTCGAGCCCCACGTCGCCGTTGGGCGATTTCAGCGTCGGGCCCGGCGGCCCGAACTCGTCGTCGCGGGCGAAAGGCCAGGCGCACTGGCCAGGGCACCGGAGCTCCGGGTTCCCGACCCAGGCGAAGGGCAGCTGCTGCCCCAGCGTCTCGTCCGCGGGCGGGGTGGAGAAGTGCGAGGCGCATGAGTTCATGCAGAAATCCTCCACGTGGACGTCGCGCGCCGTGAGCACGAGGTAGACGGCGCTGGCGTCCAGGGGCAGTCGCGACGCGGGATCCGTCGCGTTTAGCGCGTTCAGCACGATTGCCTGCAGGTCGTCCTCGCTGAGGGCCCGGCCGCGCGAGCAATCTCGGTCGTGGACCTGCGCTCCCAGGTGCAGCGAGCCCGCGACGGCGCAGCCTTTGTCGTCCTTGTAGCCCTGGGTCACGTTCCACCAGCTCGTCACGGACGGCGTCTTATGCTTTGTGGCGCTGAAGCAGCGAAAGAAGTCGCAGACAACGGCCTTCTGCTCGGCGCTGAAATCCCCGTACCATATGACGTGCACCGGCACGCTCGCGCCCGAGTTCATCAGCGGCCCGTAGTGGTAGTTCAGAACCGGCGCCGGCTCCTCCACCAGATGCGCCAGCTTGCGCCGTTGCGCCGCTGCAGCTGCACTGCGCTCAGCCTCCGCGTGGAGATCGGGCCGACCGTCGTGAGTTCGCTCGATGGCTCGGTCGTGCGTCAGAACGGAGGCGATGCGCGCAGGGCCGGGCCGATCAGCCACCTTCGCCGTCTCGAAGGCGTCGAGTTCGAAGAAGATGTAGACGAGCAGAGCGCATCGCCAGAAGCCGAGCAGGAATTGCATCTTCCGCGTCGTGGGCTGGGACTTGCTCCGAGTTCCGGAAGGAGCCCGGAGCCAGGGGAGCATGGTGGCGCCTGGGAAGGTCCTCGGGTCTCAGAAACAATTGTTCACGAGCTCCCTCTCGCGATTGTCTGCGTGAACAATTGCTTCTGAGACTGGCCGCGACGGAGGGAGGGAGCTGCTCGGGGCATGGACGAAGCCCCGATCTATATACTGCGCGTACTGCGGGCAGGCAGTCAGGAGGTGCACGAATGCGTCGCCATCAGCGTCAGTGGCCAGTTTGACATCTCTGCAGGAAGATGACGAAAGCAGTGGTGCCGGATCCATGGCTGGCTGGCTGGCTCACTGGCAAGAACGCATGTGAGGAGTCTGTAAAGCAGCGTCTGAATCAATTATTATGCTTAGTATGGAGGCAGATGGTCCCCGCTCCACCTGACTGCCTGTCTGGATATTTCTTCGTTAACTGAATTAGGAGTCTTCGAACCAGCTACGTTGCGAATGACCACCATCTGATTCACTGCAAGAGTCATCGTTAGGGGCTTTATCTCTCCGCTGGCAAGCAGCACTGCCATTCGATGTTGTTTCATATCAGCCGATATCTGCGAGCTAGCTCAGATGAGTGAGTGAGCGAGTGATCAGTCGTGGGCTTTCAAGCTGGCAACATACGTGCTGGCCACGCCTAGTAATATTTGGACTCGACAGTTTTGACTTGAAGTCTTCCAGAAGTGACTTGCATCAGAGTTACAGCTGATGCGTTTAGAGCTTGGGAGTGTGATATATTCATCGTGTCATAGCATATCTGGTGAAGCCTTGCCGTCAGCCAGCCCATGAACGTGCCAGCCAATTCATTCTAAATTCATCCAGAGGTCAATGATCGTACGTCTCTCTCTCTCTCTCTCTCTCTCTCTCTTGCCTCCATCACGTGATCGGTCGAACTCCAAAATTCAGCATCGCGAGGATGACATGCCATTAGTGTGACCGTATAGGAAAGGAAATCTATGATAATGTTTGCCTGGGAATCCCCGACTCCATCCGACTACCGGACGCGACTTGCACGGACTTTCAATGTTTTTGTGATTAGATGCAACACTGTCTACAAGCTCATTTCTGGTCACGACCAGTCCTTGCTATCATCATATCGCTCTAATGACTAGCCACTTATCTCTAGTGTCAAGCCTATAGAACTGTGTTTTATGATTTGTGGGCTGTATAATACATGTTTAATACGTTTTGTTTAATACAGTGAACAAATGTGAGCTGAATTTACTACTGGGGCATCACGAGACACTCGTCCAAAATCTCGTCGGTATCAAATAGCATTTGGTCATCGAAAGGATTCAGGCGATCCGACATATCAAACTCATTGAATTCATCGAGGTGGTCGTCCAAGTCGATCCAGGCCTCACTAGCGCCAAGCTTCTTCAACCATCGAACGAAGGGACTGTTGCGTTCTACACTCGCGCGTCGTGTAACCTGCTTCGCATAGTTGTATACATGGTCCTGTATTATACGCTGTATTAAACATACGTTATATACACACAGTTCCATAGTCAAGCCGTGCTATACAACATAAAATAAAAGTTAATCCTGTCTAACACTCGACCCATAACTGGTCGTAAAATTTTTTTTCCACTTAATGGCTGATCAAATAGCTGTATAAAACTTGCCGTGATTTAGAGGAGATTTGAAGTTCGCAGAAGTATGACCATTCACCACAAGGCGGAGATATACTTAAGTTTCTGGTCCTCATAGACTGCAACACTAGAACCACAATGTACTTCCTCCTTTCAGCGAGATCACTTGTATCCGAGAACGAATACAGTGGTGACAATTTAAAGGAGAGGAGGCCGGAAAAGTAAACACGGGATTCTGTAGAACCACAGACTCCACAGCTTCGAGAGCTACGAAGGGAATACAATACTCGCAGGAAAGGGAAACTGCATGAATTAGCAGCAGCAGCCAAAGAAGAAGATGTGGAAGACATCGATTCCTCTAGATCCAAGGTGCCCCACTTACTGACGTCACCATTCTTTCTAGAGCAAGCGAGGATACGGAGTACGTACACCTCGAATGAGCCCAGAAGACATCACGAAGTTTCAGATCGGACTCGCTTCAGAGTCAATCATATTTTCATCCAACGGATCCATCCAAGCCCCGTTCTGATTTCTGCAGGCATTCGAAGTTCCAACTCAAAGCTCTGGTCTCATGCACAGCTTTTTAGGAGCTAAGGGGTTCAAATACGCCGGCGTCGTCGTCGTCTGGATGAAATGTATGCAGACACTGCGGGCCTTGGGACCACCACAAGTCAACAGGTCAGATCAGGTCAGGTTGAAGTCTCTAAGAGCGATCGCGAATTTCAGACCACCCCGTACTCGAGCACTTCTTGGTGTCGTTGTGCAGGCTTGAGTCGGACGGGGCCGATTAAACAGAACCTGAATTGCCAGAATCTCGTCAGAGGAATCTACAACATAAGACGTAAAACAAGAAGCTAGCTGCGTCCGACGCTTGCTTGCAGTTCCATTTTTTGCCAGATGCCAATGCTAGTTCGGTGCGCGCCTCGTCTCCTTTTCGAAATCAGTCAGGGCTGTACTATTATGTTCTGGTTTATGATTGCACCTCCTTGTTAACGGAGACGGGTATGGCGAAGTTCTACCATTTCTGAAGCAGATAGTTTGAGAAGGACCGGTATCGTTTATCCAGAAGGAGAATAGAGGAGAAGGGTAGTGTAGAATGCCATGCCCCGGTAGCTTTCGTACTTGCGATTCGTTATACTTGAGCCGCTTGTTTTGCCATGATTCCATCCTGGACGGTCTGTCTTGCGATAGAGGAATAATTCGCGAAACTATGTCTATCTGTCGGACATAGTCTCTATCATCTTCATTAAAACTCTTGCAGCTGAGGACCTCATGATCACGGACAAAAGTGCTTTCCTGTTGACGAAAAGTAGGAAAATTCAGATGTTTGGGCAGACTCTGCTAGCGGCCGCGTCTTATGACATTGTACACCACACCGCACCACACCGTACGTACGTATGAATGCAGAGGCATGATAATGAAGGAAGGAAAACTCACGAGCATCGAAGTCATGTGGACATGTCAGCTGGTGCGCCAATTTTCGTCCAAAATATCCAGTGAGTTGTGTGACAATAATCGACGAGCAAACGGTGATTTTGTCTGTGGAGACAGACAGACTAGTACTGCAACGTCTAGCTACCAACCAACCAACCAGCCGCCCAGCCAGCCGCCCAGCCAACCATGGCGAGTGCCAGTGCTGGTGCTGCACCTACAGTATTTTCGACCGTACTCAGTACGAGCAGCAGCTTTCTTTGGGCCTGAATCGATCATGAACAGGTAAAGCAGAACCTTTATATCTAATGGATCATGGATCCTTGGAAAAAGGACGGAAGGAAGTAAGCTAGCTACCAAGCCAGCCCATAAGATATGACACTTGGTGGCAGTGGCAAGGGAGAGTACTAGGAAGATGGATTTTATTCCCTTTTTCGCAGAGCGTGCAAACTCACGAGCGCAACAGCAAGGAAGCTAAAGGTCAGGACTGATGAGGAGGAGGAGGAGGAGGACTCAGAAAGATTTTCTTCATTATTTCTTCGCTGCTGTACTACATTCCAAGCAATTATCTGGACTTAATCTTCTTTTGTTGGCAATCATGCGTCCTCACCAGGGCTCCAATAGTCAAAGCTCGGAGCACGTCATGCCAAGCCGAGTACTACATTCTGATTGAGCTGCTGGCTATGGCCTTACTCGAACACTGCATCGAGATCCTCCTCCTTCTCCTCCTTCTCTTCCTCATCATCATCCATCATGTATGACTGCATGCCATGGTACGAACGTGTTCAACGAACATACAACATCCTGTAACTTGACCAGGCAGCCTGCTCGAGCTCTGGCCAGTGAACGGTAAAAATCGAAACGAGTCCGGGTCCTGTAGTTGCAACTTCCCCCAATCGAATCCGGGGCCTCTAGGAGCCCCAAGTTGGAAAGGCTCTCAGACTGGGATAATCTGGCTTGCTGTATCCTGTACCCGAAGATAGCTGTAGATGGCTGTAGCTACAGCGATCTGGGAACGAGAAATTCGATTTGGAGACTCGTTGGTCAACTACTGGATCAATCATCCGACTTACCACTGTAGCTCAGGTGGGTTAGGCAGACATTCACGGCATCAGATACATCCTCCCGTAAATCATTGGTCTCCTTAATCCCATGCTTTCTGTCCAACAAGTTTAGTCTGAAGATTCACCTAAGCTCTCTAGATCTGCCCTCGCTGCCCAGACGACACGAGACGTACGCACCGTGCTTCTTCTTCTCTTCCTTTCACTTGTCATGATCTGATGAGTTGCTCGCCTCCAGACTCAGGCTCAGGTTGGGCCGTGCCTGCGGTACATCCATACGTAAGTTAATTAAAATTGTCATTATTGTTATTATAGGATCAATAAACTTTCACTTTTCCTGTTCACAGCTTCTGTGATTTCCGAATGTTGGCCAGCCAACAACTCTCAGCTGCAGCATTCCGAATACTACTGGTCCTCGCAGAGCAGAACAGAGCTGGTTACTATGAGTGAAGAGAGAGGCAGAGAGATGGGTGGAAGACATTCGGCAAGTTAGATTCTGGTTTGTCATCATACTGTCTCTGGCAGGTGAAAGAAGTTCATGTTGCGAAGTTCATGTTCACTGTCAGCCAGACTTAGAAAGCAAAGGTTTGTATGATTCAGGCTCGAATATTCAACATGTAGCTTTCCACTCCAAACAATGAATACGTTGACGGCGGCATGCAGTGGCAGGCATGAGCCATGTATCGGTGGCGTCCGAGCATCTAACTTTGAGTGGCAAGGAATGCTCCAGATCTCCCACTCATGCGAGCCGAGTGCGTGCTTAAATATGAACAACGTGAGTCTCACACGGACGTTCCCAGTTCACATCGTCCATTACAGCAGCTCTATTCGGAAAGCTCGACCGTGAAAGCAATGCCCGGAGACCGATCGATCGATAGCTATAGTTCCACATCAATTTGCGAGCAGTTGAACGTCAAAGAAGAGTATGATTGATACACAA